TGTGCGGCTCCTGCTCCCGCTGAGCCTACCGAGAGCTGCCTCGGTGCCCGTGTCAGGTGATAGAACGATGGAGCGTCTCTTCTGCTTCCCTTCAGAGCTCCTGAATTTCGGCATCTTCATGTTCGTCTCTGACCTCTCTCGTGTCTCTTGTGTTTTACATGCCTTTATGTTTTCTTTTGCTTTACCTTTTTTTTTTTTTCTTTTTTCCACCCTAAAACAGTGCCAACCTGACTACAGCTTATCCTTGGTTTTTCGTTTGGGAATCAAGATATTAGAGAACTTCTCATCACTCAAAGTTTATGCTGTCACATTCATTTTATTGGTGTTTTATTTGCTATCTTTTCTGTGAGAAACAAAGAAGCTGAGGAGAATGTATCCCACAGCAGTAGAACTGTGCAGGTGTTTGTTACTTTTACTTCTGTTTCTCACACCCTCTCAGGGTGTGTTACCCAGATCTATCAGATTCAGTGAAACTTTGAGTCCATAGTGTTAAGCTCTATGCCTGGTATTTTGCCTTTTACTGCTTTTACATGTTACTGGTCACTTGAGAAGCAATGCTGCCGAGTCTTGCGTTTTGTTCCAAATTTGCCAGTGCCTTATCCATCTGTCATATAATTAAATGGGAAAAGTAATTAATTGGAAAACCTGACTTGTTGAAAGTACTTTAATTAATGTTCTGAAATTCTTTGTGATGAAATGTTCCTGCAGAAAATACAGCTTGCCTTACAGTTTGGAGACACGAGTTCTCTATTAGGAATGAGACTGGGGATGGTGTGTCATCAGTAATTTGTCTGCTTATATCTTCCTGTTGATGATGTTAAACAGATGGTGGTATCTGTTTTATCAGGGAGAAGTGCAGCACTTGAAATAACCTGTTAATCCTAGTAAGTGAATCCTAATATCTTCAGCTGCACTTGGAGTGGTCAGTAAGCAGCAGCAGGATGTATTTCTTTATTTCTGTTACATACATTAGTGCTTGGCATCAGACTTTGTTTCCCTGAGGTTAAGAGGCTAAAAGTGGTTTGTGCATAAATCTCTGAGTTATAAATAGCCGTATGCATTTGGCTATTTTTGTAGCTCTCAAGTTTTGGTGATCTTCTTTGGTTTGCCTCTTTGCTTGTGACTCCCTGGAAAGGATAATCCTTTTCTCAGAAGTCTTATTGCTGTTCCAGTAAGGTGTTTATGAATGTATGTATGCACATCACCTTGATGGACTCCATTGTACAGTACTTGCAAGCAACTTTCATTGCTGAAGGTGAAGGTTGAGAGCAGTGCTTGGAACTTGTGTATTTAAGATCCCAATCCATGTTTGAAGTGGAATATTTGTGCAGTTACACATTCTGTTGCTATGTTTTACTGCCAATGTATGTTTTTATTCTGGATATAAATATTACCAAGGATAAAACATGAGCCTGAGTCACCAGAAAAAGAATTCGGAAACCTATTTGGTTTAATTCAATGTTTGCACAATAATTTTTTCCCCTTGCGTTGTGTGGAACGTGACATACAAATAAGGTGTCAGTAGTTGTTGGGAACTCCATGGAGAATTTCGAATATTCTGGGTTTATCCCAGAGCAGAGTTAGCTCAGCTTGTCTCAAACATTGATCCCAGCTGTATCCATAGGTGCCGGGCATTGGTGTGAATTCTGGGAGCAATCAAAGTCCTGTAGGTTTTGAAAGGGGAAGCAGGATTGGTGTGTTTTAGAGGGGGACAGAGGTGTATTCAAGAATTCCAGTCAGCCTAGTTTGAGGCAGCTGACCAGGCAGTGAGGGGTGGAATGCTCCTGGAATTAAACAATGCTGTTCCTGTCACAGCTGGCAGGGGTCACTGGAAAGCAGTGGACTTTATTTCTTTCCTAATTCTCCCAAGTTACATGTACTATCTTCCTTGGCTTTTTCTATATATCTGTCTTTACTTATTTCTAGTAGAAATCCAGTTGAAATTTTTTGTTTTTTCTCAGGACCCTTGTGAGTGAGAATGATACCAGTCAGAGATTGGGGTTTGGGTTTTCCTTTGTCCGTGAGGAAGTTCTTTTCATAATAAACAGTGTTGTTTATGGATTCATCATCAGACAGTTTATGTGGATTTTTAGCAAGACTTATTAAGGACGCAAAGCTTGTACAATTGCTTCCTTTGTCTCTCTTCTCCCATTTGAGTCATTTCTTACTCAGATGATGAAACCAAAGTTAATGGCAACTGAAAGACACTACCTACACTGTGACAAGTTTTTATAAAACTTTAGATGGGTAGTGTCCCAAATTAATATTCCTACCCAAAAAAAGCAGTCATAGAGTCCCTCCCTTCTCCAAGAAGTGAGCAATTGCTGGGCAGTGTGTGTGCTAAGCTCTGAGCCATCAGCACTAGCCTGCTTTGACTGGCCCAGCCAAGCACTTGGGATGGTTGTTATGATGGGTGGGGGGCAGGAAAAATATTTTGGGTGGGGACAATGGTAAGAGCAGGCAGAGTTAATTGCTTCTGCCCACAGAGCCAGGTAGGCCTGTTTTTTCTCTGATGTTATTTTGTTTTATGAAGGAAACAAAACAAAACTCTTAGGGGGTACCTGTCAGAGGTAGTGCTGCATCTTCCTGTTTGAGGACAATTGATCACCACTTACTCAAAGATATGTGAGAAGTAACAGACTTTGAAAGCTTTTAATATCATGTTTTCTCCCTTAAATTTACTGTTCTGTTATTTATAAAGGTCCTTCTTGATGATTGCAGAGGAGGAAATTGTTAAGTCTTTGAAGAAATTATATTAGAATTTTTAAGAAGAACCCAAAGAGCTTAATAAATTGCCACAGTGGAAGAAAGGGTTAATACTGATTAGAGTGATAATGTATTGCTGTGTAATGCTTGGGTATGCTCTGCTTGTAATCATAGAATAATTTAGGAAAGGGTCATTGGAGGTCATCAGTCTGCTCCAGCCCCATCTCAGAGCAGCTTCAAAGTTAGAGCAAACACATATAGAGAGATCCATTGTGTTGTCAGGAAATTTAGAAATACAGCTTGTGCTTGTGGTGGGCTTTTTTGTTTGTTTTTTTTTTTGTGGAAGGAGAGGATATCAGGGAGTTCCTAGAACTATTCTCTTATATTTTTAAATTTATGCGTGTGAATGGGATTTTTTCCAAGTTTGTTTCCGCTGGGAATACATGTAATATTCAGTATTTAATTCTTTGCTCATTTGGGGTGATCTTGGTAGATGTTCTCCAAAGAGCCTAGATGGCTTTCTGGAATGAGTCCAAGCACTGGACTCCTATTTGCAAATAATTTGTGGTTCAGTTCTTAAAAACTAAAATACAACTGCAGAGTGGGAGAAGAAACGAAAGCAGTATCACATCAGACGTGAAATCGTGCGAGCCTCACATTTTGGACGCTGGCCAGCGCCAGATGCTTTTGGGGTTTAGGTGGTTGGCAGATGCTGCCTTGGCACTGAGCACCCTTGGTGTTGATGTGTGCAAGGGACAGTTTGTTCTGTGTGTGGCTCTCCTTGGTGTTGGCTTCTGGCCGTCCTGC